TTGAGGCGCAGTCTGGTTTTAACTGTAAAAGCATATCTGTTATTTGCTGAGTTCGATAATCATAATATGCTGTATTAAACAATTTGTAAATCCTCTCCGATTTACTCAAGAAATTTGCAATATATTAATACATATATCAAATTTCAATCAGAATGTTTACTGTTGATTTTACTTAATCGTGAAAAAAGACCTCCCAAAGTAATGTTTGGTGTGTAAGTATAATATCCTGAGTCGACCTTGACAAAAGCCCGACTGAACCCGGGCTCTCGAACTGCGGAGGGTTAAAGAACCCCCTATCACCTGCTGTAAGGCCTGCTGGCCTACCGTGCAAAACCCCCCGTACCATCCTCGCGCATAGTCCGGGACCTGGATTTGTGTTTGAATATCCGGCTCGAAGAACCATGAACAAAACGCGGATTGTTGTGGCAGTAGACGACTGTATCCTTATCCTACTATTATATTATTATAAATGCAAAAGTTTGTGATCATGGCTGTATGTATGAATGTTTGTGAAATAATACACACAAAAACTACTGAACGAATTTTGATGAAATTTAGTATACCTACGGGTAATTCTAAGCCTGAATTAACTTTTTTATCAGAATAAAGATACATGTCCAAGTTATCGCGTTAACCACGTGGGCAAGTCGCTGGCAGAAAGCCTTTATGTGTTTCAATAATATTAGACTCAAAACTATATGATTTTAATGGTATTTTCAATCTTTGTACATTATTGAGTCAATTACTGAGGATGTCAAAAAATATCATGCCTGCATATGCAGCGATCTGTTTCAGTGCCATCCTTTATTTTATACATTAACCAGATATGTTTATCAATTCCAACAATTAGTCATCAACTTCTTCACAATATGTACAGTGAATCAATCATAGTTGACACAATAGTCTGTACCACAGTGATGTCTTTTATAATCTCCTGTGATATTAACATACTTTAGAGTGATTCAGGAAATTATAAGATGACACTTGCATAGAAATATGTTAGTTACTTTATTTTAAAGGAGAGCGCTGAAGATTTATTAATGGTTAGAGATTAAACAAATCGTTTCTAAACACGTCTAAAACCATGTATAAATTAAGTTACACTTATCAACTGGGTAGTGTTCGCGGAATTATAAAAATTGTTATATTATATAGTAACATATTAAATGTTTCCATATTGTGTTTTTTAAATTTGTCTATGGCAATAGGCGCATTTTGCATTTAATATTTATTGCGGCTATCATCTTACACAATTGTATTTGCACTCACCGAATTGTACCTATTTACTATTGGATCATAATAAAACATTAAATTATCAATCAATTCAGCTTCAAATGGTGTTTTTATTACAGTTTTTTTTTATAGATCTCTGGATATTCGTGGTTTTTGTGGTTACCTCACCACATAATGTATAACATTTACACAATATGTTTTATTTTCAAATTTAATTAAAGAAATATTGATTTTTTATTACCTGCTTGCCGTTGACTGTTAGCGTTGTGTATTGGCATATTAACAAACAACAAAGCCAAACAGCCATTGATTTTTATCAAAATTTTACAATATTCGCGGCATTTCGCTTGGCTCTTTTGAAAATTTTCTTTCTTATACCTGAGCAGGTATACGAAAGGATCTTACCTGAAACTTTTCTTCTATATTTTACGAGCTCAACTATGTGCTTATTGTAATATGTAATTAAAGTTACCACATCACCAAAAAAATTTGATTTCATTTGTAAATACATACCTATATTGAGTTTAAACCTAATATACTGTTTTCCCTACTAACTTCTGCTTAATAACTTGATAATATGTAAATTTTCATTATCAGTTTTAATATTCTGTTCATTAATAATATTTTATATATTTCCGATATTTTGAAAACATGAACGTTGTATTTTAAAATAACTTTCTTTTTCTATTTAATGAACATTCATAAAGCATTAATAAAATTATCCATTAACCTTGGATTACCAATCCAATGATTTAATAAATCAAAGGATAGAATTATGGCATTTCCTTTACAATCATATCTATATTTTGCTTATTCCAATGTCAATACCAGACATCGTGTAACGGCAGCAAGTAACAAGGCTTAAAATATTAACGTTAAAGAGCATACAAAACTATACCAGCATTCTTTTAGAACTTGGGAAAATTAGAAAAACATCGATAGATGGAACAGCAAGTGGTATACCGAATTAAAAATTTCTGTTTAATTAAAAATTCGATTTTACACAAAAGTATAGCAGTTCCACGAAGAAATGTTTTAAATAATACGGGAAAAAGCAATGAAATAGGTATAGGTACGTATAAGGACCGTTAAAACCGCAGCGGGTTTTCTATCTCATATTAATTAAAAACAAAATGTTTTCCTGTTACATTACAATACAATTCAACGAATGTTTTTAATGATAACAATTTAAATTTTGCTGCTCTTGATCACTTTATAAAAGTAAAAAATACTATATACATTTTGAGAACATCTAAAGAAGAGTAGCCTGGATTTCATATGATCTATATGGTAGAACACCGAAAGAAATTTACAAGGAAAATACTAAGAAGGTAGCAAGGAAAACGAGAAACTATTCTATCTTGCGATTTCGTCATTGCGGCATTCATATGCCGCAACACAGCACGCGCACGAGTGATTCACTTTGTATCGATTTACTTCCCTACAATCGATTTGTGTGTACTACTTTGTAAGGACGCACCACTGTGTTCAATTGGCACAAACAATGAGTGTACCCGTGCCCTCAATGGGTTTAACTATTGTAGTTACCAGACTACACAGAGTATTTCAATGAAAACACGTAATACATCCAATTTATCAGCTCTAGTACATACAGTACAAGTAAAATATTCAGTTTGTTTAAATTGTTTCTAACTAATTACCCATGATTAACAAACTAAGCATCTCAAGAAATTATTGAGTATTTCTAAACTCAGAATGTTAAATATTATCTAAATCACTTCCACCTAAACAACTTTCCATATCCTTTCTCATTTGTCTGATAATTTGGTAGGCACTAATGTATAAGTTGTAGGCTCAGCGAGAATAGTATTATTATTAAACAGGCTTTATTTATTTAAGTTTTCAAGTTATAACCTTAAGAGGTCATAACGAAGGATTTCTTCCTTTTCATTAGTAAATAAGTGAATTCTGAAGAGACAGTTCATTATTTATTTAAGCCATGATGAATTTAAAATTCATGTCTTGGTAATTTTTTTAGAATTTGTAAACTTTCATAAAGTTTCATCATATAAATAAAACATACACTTATGTAAAATTATATTTAAGACTTTGTCTTAACGGTTATTAACATTTGTAGATAACAGTTGACCTAACGTGTTGCCACAATCCGGTTGGAAGCAGTATTCCATCGAACCCGCGATATGATATTGAAATATCGTTTGTGAGAATTCGAACATAATTTTATTACTATGGACATTACTTATCCTGTATAGATCACGAATATTACGTATTGGATATTATATTGATAACTTCTTATGTATTTTATGTATTATGATTAGTCTATTTGAACCTTGATTTTGTTCCTAGGTTTTCGATCAAAACATTTTCATTTATTAAATTATTCATTTATGATTTCGCCTTAATTTATATTAGATACATTTTTTTCCTTTTATTTTTCAAAAAATAGCATTTAAAGTACAAAAATCCTATCTAAATTAATAAATATAAAATAGCATCTACAGTAAAAAAACTGTTCACTGCATAAAAGGAATAATTAGTTTATGAGGATAATTGAAGCTGAATATAGTATCGATAATACCTAATAACATTCAATTAAGAAAATTGAATTTTTACTGCAAAGTAGTACTTAATTATATATACCAGTCTGGTCTATAAATCTGTATCTTTTTTATATTTAAATCACAACATGATGTAACAGTTCTCAAGTTCTCGCCTAATTTACTGTTATTATGATAATTAAAACGTATTAAGCGTGTATTTATTTATAGAAACCTGCAATCACCTCGTAGTATATCCCATTAGAATAGAAAATAATATACTCCATGTTAAGGAAAACTAACCTTGGTTATTTTCAACGATGTTGCAACCTTCATGGTACTGAAGAGTTGTCACGTTTCTTGGTTGCATCGATTTTATCATATAGCCTTGCATATACTCGTTGTTAAAATGGTTTGAACGTTAAAGGACTTATCATTTCAGTACTATGGTTTTAATTTGTTCAATAGAAAGCAAATCATTTTAAATTTCGAAACGATACTTCTAAACCTTAAAAAAAGGATTAAAAAAATCATTACAAGTATGTTCATATCACAACCCGTGTTTTTGTGTACTTGCATTGGTGGCATTAAAACTTCTTTTTTAAAACCTTCCATTATATTCGGTATTGTGGCATAGATATTTTTCCTAATGATCTAAAATTACATACATACATACATTATCTGTGGGTAAATCATACAAAAAATAACAAATAATATAATATGTAGAAACCGTAACTGTCTAGTTAATTTCTTATCATTATATAAAGTTACTAATTTATACTAAGATACATATTTACATGTTTTCATAATAAATATCCGCTTATAGATTAATTTCTCTTGGTTGAAGCATTTAAATGGCGTTAATATTAACTGTATACTATATTCATCATCATCATCATTAGCCATTTTACGTCCCCACTGCAGGGGCTCATGCCTTCCTTATTGATGGTTAAAGAGGATGGGCCATGTCCCTCCACGCTGGCCCAATGCGGATTGGAGGGCATTAACGACTGCAAATGTAGCCGGGACCAACGGCTTAACGTGCCTTCCGAAGCACGAAGTAGCTCGAGTTAATAATTTTTTGGTCATCCATCCCGTCCCGACCGACCTTGCGAAAATTGCTTACAACAACGATCGCGGGCCACGGCGCTTATTCTTTACGCCACCAAGCTACTTTATAGTACTAGTATTATAGTAGGTATTATATATACTATATTACAGGTAATAAATTTACTTCATTGGTTTCAGATGCACCGAATGATGCGAATTACATGATATGCGGCGTCGTTATTGCCATGGCCCTCGTTGGGCTCATCATAGTGCTGCTGGCTCTCACAATAAAGTAAGTAGCTAACGTATACCTTATCATTGAAATTATACTGTACTAATATTTTATTCAAAAACAAGTAGTTGAGGCACACGTTTAAAAAAAAGAATTGACCCCTTAATTGAACTGACCCAGGCTAAGCATTTAAAAATGTAAAAAATACTCTTCAATGTTGGTTGTATTAAGTTATGAAATTGCAACTACAACTAACTACTAAAAATTTAATTGATTCTTCATATTAAATGAAACATCGATTAAGTTAAACGAAACATCAATAATAATTTACAAAAAATTGATTGATTGATTGGATATTCTTTATTGCACTATAATAATTAAGATATTATATAATCAAGTAAAACGTTTTTATCATCATTTAATTGTATGGCCGTTATAAAAAGAATAAAATTATATACTACGTATTTGTAAATAGGTCGGTTATCGCATAATGCAATAAACATGTAGTTCAATGAAGACCACTCGTATTTACGATCATGTACGCAACTGCGAAACTCATAAAAGAAACATTGAATGTTCTGTAAAAAAGGTTAAATGTTTTGATTTATTACGATTTTGTAGTGATGTATGAAACGAAACGTAAATCATAAGGTGTTGATCTGGCGTGTGCCAAATTACGTCTTAAATCTACATCTTTCGAGTTGGAAACGCTTATTTTTGAAACGGTAATGTTTTAATTGAAGCAATGAATCAATCGTCGGAATTGAAATTGTGACCGAATTAAAATGATATATCTTCAAAGGAATTATCTAGTCTATTCCATTTAACTTTAATATTTTTTTAACAAAATTGATAAATTGTGGATACAAATATTGCGAATGGAAACTGATTATCATATTAGATGATACAATGAAATACCAAAAAACTAGTTGTTGAAATTGGTAATTCTTTTAATACTGGTCATAAAATATTGAAGAGTTATCTAATTACATAATAAATAAGACATGAGCTACCGTGAGTTTCTGGTACAGAAATCGGATGTTAGTTTACAATGACCAGCTTATCTTCAAGGGTTTGAGTGCTTAAAGACATAAATTGTTTTTTGATTCGATCTATTTTGATCTTCAAAAGCATCTCAAGTGTTTCTTTTTATAGAGATAGTTGCTTTTAGTCTACATATGATATTTGCCGGTTACCAGATACAGCTTTGACGGCAGATTATGGTTAAGCACTACTTTATTCATAAACAATGTGAAATAATGTTGTTATACTAACTAAAATAAATAAAACAAAAAGATGTATTCAACTATAACTAGTTATATCGAAAATGGATAATTAAACAGAGTCACTTTTGATTATTCTATTTATCTATGTACATTCAGGCCAGATCCCTTGCTAAATAGAAAGATTCGATTGCCATAAAGTAATACGGTCTTTATTTATTATTTCTGCGGTCTTTGTTTTTGAATGTATTTTTTTCTCATGAGAACAGGAAACAATACATGTGTTTGTCTGCTTATATTTTAAATTGTTATACAGTATAAATACATATCGTATTCAAATAACAAAATTATGGTTAACAAAGATATTTACACGTAATCTGAGACCAGAACGGTTGTTATCACAATTACATAAGTCGCGGATATGGTTCCTGTCACCGAAGGCCTTAGAAACCATTGGCCAACAGCTGCAGTGTGACGTAATTGACGTGGCAAACTCGCTTCAATATAAAACACTTGAGCAATTCGAGACTAATCATTAGCTCAAGGCAATAGAACGGCTTGCTGATACGATATCAGGGTTGGTAAGTTATTATATTTTATAGCTAAGTGTTACTTTTGGAGCTTCAATTCATAATAAAAACGATTGCTCTTAAGTTTATTTATGTAATGATTACTTCATGTAAAACCATAATCATCGGTTGCTCTCACAACAACTGAAGTCATAAGCAATAGAATACGGTTTTCTTTATTTCTTTCAACTATTGATATCTTATTAAGTAGGTACTTAAATAATGTAATGACGCTAACAAAATACTTTTTCGTGTGAGAACCCTAAATAATAAAATAAACTATTTACGGGGTCACGATTTTGCAGGCTCATAATGTAACTAAAATGTTTGGGTTAAAATTTTGTAGTACTATGTTTTACATTAAAGATTTTGCTTTCAAATGTAATGTTGAGATATTTAAGGAAGATAGTTGTACGTACGAACTTAAAAGCTAAGTACATGCTTTCATAACGAATTCGAAATAGACCGATGATTCATGTCCAACTATTTAAGTCAAAAGCAGTATCTCGAACTAGTTTTGTGTTATAATAATAGACTGACGGAAGAAAGTTTGAGGATTTATTGGTTTGTTAATGTGCCTTATCGTAGGGATGCTCGACATTCATCAATGCATCGAAAACATCGATATTAATCTTACCGATATTGATTATGTCGATATTTTACGATATATTTCATTAAATATATCGAAGAATTGGCACATATTTTCATAAAATCCCGAGGGATTTTTGCGGCAACCACAAATGCCGTGTTTTCGCACTGTTATCGTATTTAACATTACTAATTCATTTATATCCAACACAATGCCACCAATTTTATTCAATATAACTAAAAGCTATGCCAACAACACAACACAACTGTTTTTAAGTTTCTGTCAAAAATCATTCGATAGACCGTAGTTGAAGTATTATTTTAGTATAGAGTATAGATTTATACTCATACAAACTGTTTAATGTTTTTCATCGATGTGTCGAAAACATCGATGTTTTAATTTGATATACCGAAAAACATCGATGCAACCTTTCCGATTGATGCATCGGAAAAAATGTCGATGTATTTTTTTAAATTAACATCCCTAGCTTATCGACAACCTGGACTAGTGGCTCGCACACCGTTTTGAAGGTGTCGTCATTCCTCAGTTCAAGCGTTCGATATCAAGGTCCGGGTTTCGTGAGTCTTTTTAAATTAACATCCCTAGCTTATCGACAACCTGGACTAGTGGCTCGCATACCGTTTTGAAGGTGTCGTCATCCCTCAGTTCAAGCGTTCGATATCAAGGTCCGGATTTCGTGAGACCCCGTTTAAATTTCTATGATATAAGTAAAGCACTTATATCATAGAAATTTAAACGGGGTCTCACGAAGTTACTTAATTTGCGATACGAACATTATAATTATTCCAGTATACTTATATCTAGTAAGTTTATCAATATTCGGGTTATCCTTTTTTATCACAAATTTCATTATATCTAATACCGGTTTCGGGTAGTCGAACTGGCGTCATAATGTGGTTTACTGATAATTATTTGTATAACCATGTTACATAACTTTTTACCCAACTACAATATTAACGCATTACACCAATTTGTAGCATTTAAATCTGGGTGTAAGGAAATTTAGTTCGTTTCTATATTGCTAAAAAATAGAACAACATTTATACACTAGCTCATTCTATTGATAACCAAAAATAAAAAAATCATGGTTTATTTATATCAGTCTAGTAATTCAACATCTGGAAATTACTCGAGAAACATAAGTATAAAAAGTCAAATTCATGACATCTACTTGTATACATAGATGTCTTGTCCCTTAAGGTATCAAAAACCTTCGAGTTGAAAGCCTCTAAAGGCCTAGTTGTACCACATTTAAACTAGTTCTTAAATAAATGTGGGTAATTTGAAATACTTTTTTATGAAAACTACCTCTATTTTGTTACAGTATCTAGTCATCTTTGTTTTAGCGAGGACGTGCTCTTTTGTAAAATTAAAATAAAGAGTGTAAAATAAAGTTTTTAAGTGTTTACATAACAAGATGTTCGTGGTATTAAATTTGATACAACGATCGATTAGGAAAATCGTGAAAAAAAAGTAAGTAAAAAATGTGAGGTAAAATATTATGCACTGTAAAAAAAATAAGCTTTTTTTATGAATGTCTATAGTAATATTATAAACAGGAAAAAAATATTGTTTGTATGTATTGAATAGGCTCCTACTGGAATGATTTGAAAAATTCATACAACACGCAGTAGTATATTTCACAATTTTTGTAATGAAATGAATTACTAGTTACACCTTTGCTGTGTAATTTTTTCTTAACGTATTTTTTGTAATATTTTGCTATAATTTTGAGGTAAAGTTTGATATCTTTAATATATTTTATAAGAAATTTAATTTATACGGCCCGCTCAATTCCTTTAAACGGGTTTGGAGGTTTTCTTATGAAATTATTAACGTTTTTGAAATTATTCTATCGCCTATCTTCATCAGTAGTAACATAGGATTCTATTTTTTAAATCGGTCCAGTTGTTTCATAGCCTATTTATTTTCAAACAAACAGGCAATCAAATCTTTCCTCTTTAAATATTATAGTATGGATATCTTCATTCGAGTAATTTTTCTCATCAACTTTAATTTTCTTTAAAAAGATTTGTATCTTGTTTTTTCTTATATTGTGAGTACATTTTTGACTTGTTCGACTTTTGAATATCTAGTATATCTTAGCTTGTTATTCTTAATCTGTAACAGATTATCTCCTACCGAGTTTATTCAAATCAATAAACAAGCATTTAGCTTTTGGCTCGTAAAAGCTTAATTTTTCACAAACAACAGATCCTTGACTAACAAAAAACAGAATGAGGTACTCTTTCCTCTTATTCCTATACGTTAACTTTGTCAGCATTATTATATAATATGTGCTTAATTACGTATTTCTTGTATTTATAGACCCTTATTCAACCCGAACAAAAATATAGAAAACAAATGCTCAATACGAAACTATAAATGAAATTGATTATTATTATAAAATAGATAGATATCAGTGGCCTAAAGACCCGCATTGTACTTTTAGCTCTTGTTATATTGGGATACACTGTAAATCGAACGAACGTGTAAATATTATCGTAACACTTTTTCCGTTCTAATAATCTCTAAACAAATTCATAAAATCTAGACCGCAATTAGTTTGTGTGCCCGGAAATTGTTGAAAAACCGTCACTAGGGAGACATTTGATTTTCATCACGCCAACGATACAATGAATTAATATACCTAATAAC